TGTTACTTTATCTCCTCATTCAGGGCTCCCAAAAAGCTGTGGCGATGACATCATCACCGGCGCCGCTGATGCATAAATGACACTGAGGATGACAGGAAGTAGAATCCAGCAACGCTCTGTTCAGTTTTTCATGTCTCTACCTCTAGCCACTGATTTAAAATGTCATGATCTGTGGTTGGTGGTGGTGAGGATAAATGCAACGAGCCCAGGTTGACATAATAAAGATGATTTAATGAAGAATTCACGGACAAACTAAAGTCAAGCAGCACGGGGAGAACGGACAGCAGACGGCAACAGACTTCGACAAACACACGACGTTTGACGAGGATCCGACAAGAGACAAAGACAGCAGGTGGGTTTAAATACACAGGGAGGGAAATCAGGGAACGAAACACAGCTGGGAAGCAATCAAAAGGGAAGACAGGACAGGAACAGGACTAAACACAGAAAACACAGAACGTATAAAACTGAAGTTTTGCAATTCTTGACACTTCATGTGTTTAAATTTCTGAATGCAGAATGAATATTTTCAGTAACAGTCCAAATTTTCAAAGTGAAATTATACCTTCTTTTCTTTTCTGTTTTTTTTTTTTTTTCCTGTTTGCACATGTACAACCACACCAGCTGAAAATGAAACAAATGCTTCAATTTTGGTGCCCGATGAAACCGAATCTACCAGACTGGAAAGATACAAGAGCTGGTGCTTTTTTACATTTGCTGATCTAGAGATCCACCGACTGAAGGTTTGTGATCAATTTATGATCAGCAATTTATGCCAAGGCTTAAGTTCACAATACCAAGAAAAGCTGATCAATATAAAGATACAAAAGTAGCTTTTCACTCCATATTTCCATTAGTTTCCCATCTCAGCCCTGTTAGGCCAATCGACTCCTATGACGTCTGACAAATCAAACAAAAACTCCTCTGACCAACCTCCTTTCAAACAATGTTACTTATTATAGTCATAACTATTACGGTAGATTTAATGTAGATGACAAAAATTTCTTTGACTTAGTCGTCACTGTATTTCTAATATTGAATTTCCATACAGTCACTGTTGGAGCAAACTTGAAAACGTTTGGTATTAAATGATCACAACTAGAACAGACACATGTCAAATGACCAGAAACCCTGATGAAGTTTAAACGGGGGAGAAAAGGGACAGTGTGTTTAAATTCTCCCCAGGTTTTCCACAGTATTTTATTGATGTGTGCCTTTTCTATATCTGGCTCTCAATCAGTCAGACAGCTGGATAATCAATAGTGGTAGAGGGCGTTAAAACTCTGCATGTGTGTGTGTGTGTGTGTGTAAATCCTGGGGGAAGAAAAACATCTTCTCCCTAATTCCTGCTCCTTATCGGTCCTCCCAGACACCCATCAGTGTCACATTCCTGAAGATATATGGACCTGATTGTTAATGAGTTTTAACAGCATCTTGCCACTCTACTTCCCACTGTGGAGAAGCTACTTATCAGCACTGCTTTTATGTGTCAAGTCTGCCTATGCAGCAAACTGCTGGACTTCACCTTTTTTTCTGCGTATTGAAACTCGCTCTTGGTCGCTTCTAAATGGCAGCACTATCATCAATAATCAAATTACTCCAGAACTTGAGAGGACTTGAATAAATGCCCAAGTAATGAGGTTTGTACTCGGAGACAGAGCCATCTTCATGGTTGGGTGTATCACACCCAGCAGATCTACGGTGGCCCTGAAGTGTGAACTACATCAACAAATTACTAAGCACAAGTACAATTTGAAAAACACAACATTAAGAAAATGGAAGACGGAGGTCCCAGTGGGACACAGAAGACATCGCTGATTGGACGACAAAACTTCTGGCCTTAGAACCAGAAGATATTCTGCCTTAACGCATTTGGTGAACATATGAATTCAAGCGACCGCTATCCAAGAATATTTAATGTCAGGACAATAAATACAAAAGTTTAGCTTCATTCTTTTCACAGTGTGGGCAGTACTTACCGCTGTGACTGTCTTCCTGTCTATCTTAAAGAGAGAGAGAGTGAATCCCAGAATAATTTCCGTTCTAAAGCCAAACGTTGTCGTCCGATCAACGATGTCTCAGGTTTCCCACCTCTTCCAATTTAGGGTTGTTGTGTTTTCTTAGTTTGTAATAGTGCTTAGTTAATGTTGTTGTTTTTTTGAATATATTGTGTTTTACAATTTGTAGTTGTGTTCAGTGATGTACTGAAGTGGTTTGCCCTTCAGGGCCACCATACAGATCAGACCTGTGGATCATTAAACACTGTTTTTCTCATCCGTTTTTGATGTGTTTGGTTAAAACCTCCAGCAGAAGTACAACACAGTTTCAGGGGGAATTCTCCATTCGGTATCCAATGTTTTGTAATCGTACACTGCAGCTATACCCTTTATGTGCAATGATGCTGTTGTAAGCATTTCATTTCACTATGGTTAATGCCTGCAAAGTCAGACTACAAGCCGAAAAAATACTGAATACGTGATGTGTGTGTAAACACATTTGTGATAGAGGACTCCTTCTGTGAAATGCCCTTAAATGAAAGCGTGTGTGCATGCATAAGTGTGTGTGCGTGTATGTGTCGATGTCAGCGCAGCTTAAGTTTTTCCTCCTCCTCCCCTTAGAGGCTTCATTCTACAAAGTCTGAAACTTTGGCTGAACTGCCTGTGAGCTGACACAGAGCGTAATTACAAACTATTATAAAAAAATAAAACAGGTGGAGTCAGAAAGAGAGAGAGAAGGAGAGTGGGGGATGGATGTTGGTTCTAATGTCCTCATTTTGCTGTCTCAGTGGCTGAAATTGGTCTAGAATGAAATAACAGTGAAACCAGCCAAGAGCTGCCACATAAACACGCTCACAACAATATATCTGTTGCTTTCTTTCAGCAGCAAAAGGTCCAAAGAGGAAGGCACTTATCTACGGGAGAGGGGGCTGGAGATAGTGTGTGTGACCTGAGCATTGCTCAGATAAGCTCTTTTGTTCCCTTTCTAATTCTCCCTCAAACAAGGAAAACCCACGGAGCAACACAGAATCCCTTCGTCACTTTCAAAGTTACGGCCGAGGTTATCTGGATAGACGCTTCATATTATGGGATATGTGTTTTATCCCTTTATGAAGGCCAAAGGGCTAAACATGCAATCAAAACGTAGAGATAAACCGTTTGGAGCCAAGGAGTTAGGATTTGGCACAAGCTGCTCGGCTAGAGGAACCGGGATGATCCAAGTCAGGTTTAATTAGAATTACAGGAACACCAGGAATGAAGCGTTCACTGGGTTCTGAGCCTCTCAGATGTTATTTACCACATATTTCTCCTCTTGGCTTGGAAAGCGATCCCTGGTGGGTTTAAATGTTAACTTTTAGCTCGACTTTTAGCATTTCCTTAGTCTTAAGTTTGGTTTTCCTGTAAAGAGAAAAATAACAGTAAGGAAGCAATTGCAGGTTGTAGTGTCAGCTATTTTTTTTTCCTTTTCCCTTTTTTTTTTTTTTTTTTGTTAAGTTTTTTTTTTCATTTTTTATAAAAGGCAAGAGTTGGTTGTGAAAAGTTGTGGTTTCACAAACCACAAAAAATGTTCCAGCATAAAATTCCTACTTTTCAAAGTCCTTTAAAGGCGAAGCCAGAGAGAGAGCCGAGTTTTCTCTGGCTGAATGTAGCGGCGAGTCCCGTCCCCCCTCCCACACCTGTTTCCTTCATGCTTCACCTCCAAATTTCTTTCTCCATTGAAGTAAAATCATTATCACACGAATATGAAACAGCTGACGCAGACATTTTTTTAAAAAAGTGACTGCGAACACACCAAGCTGTGTTACATCACTGTCTTTATGTATACCTTTACTGTGAATTCTAAATGACTATACTCATGTATATATGAGTGCATAGTTTGTCCTGTGTGTCTCTGCGATGGACTGGCTTCCAACGACCCTGGAGATACGCAAAAGATAAGCAGGTATAGACAATGGATGGATGAAAACATTTAAATAATAGGATGCACAGTAGTTCAGTTGTATCTTTAGCCTCGTGGCAAAAGGGAGCCTGGGTTCGAGATTAAGCGAGAATGTGTGTGTGTGTGTTTGGTTTTCTCTTGTAATGGGGTCCTGGGTTTCAGTCTCAACAAGAATGAGTGTGTGTGTGTGTGTGTGTGTGTGTGTGTGTGTGTGTGTGAGAGAGTTTCCTCCCATAGTACAATTTGTTTTCTTTTTTCTTTTTGCTATTTTTAACTAAATTGCACTTTATTATGCAAGTGCACTTAATTTCTTTTCCCTCACAGAATACAGGTTCATACCTATTGCAGGACATTACGCTGTAATCATTTTTTAAATCATTTACATCATAAGAACAGTATCGCCCCATTTAAAACATTTTTAAAAAACTCTTCTTGAGAATCATAGTCTTGAGATCTAAAATAAGTTCTTAAACCTTCTACTTTTGCAGTTTTGTATTATCAAGTTGTGCAACACTAGTTATTTAGAGTCAGTGGCATGTTTAGTTTAGTGTCTTGCATGTGAGGCTCTTTGGACCAGTTTCAGTTGTAAGACTAAACAATGCGGCTCTGCAATTAGCTGCTCAGCCTGCCAGTCACTGATAAGCATGGTCTGGATTGATTAGATCTGCCTGTTAATACATGCAACCCTTTTTTATTCAATTCAGTGTTTTGGAAACATGCGCCCAAAGGGCTGATATATTGTCAGCTACATTTTAGAGGCATAAGATAACATTAAAAATCCATTATTTACAAATGCTATTCAACAAGCTGCTGCAGGCTAACAGCAAATTTGAATAATTTTCTATTAGCCGTGAAGGACATAACTCATTACTAACAGAGGCTGAGGCAAGAAGTAGAAAATATTTTTTTGAAGCATAAATGAGAAAACAGCAAAGACAATGTATGAATGAAAGCATCTACTGGTAAATGGAAAGCTGAATAGGTCAGTGGGTCTCCCGCGTCATTTCCATGGAAAATCCTTTTGATTCTACAAACAGACAGCAGCCAAAAATAAAGAGTCGTACCTTTAATTCATCAGTGTTTGCTGAGGAAGACGAGCTCTCTTCACAGAACTGCCTGAGAGAAACACAGACAGGGAGGAAACCTGTTACTTACATCAAAAAGTACTGAAGAGAAACAGGTCGAGAATATGGAGGGATGATTCTATGATAAATGTAAGTAGAGATGCCACTGCTTTACAGTATTTATACAATAATTTAAGAAAAATGAATGACAGAACATTTTTTCTTCAGGTTAAACAACATAAGTTTTTCACAACCAGAAATGTTTCCAAAGATGTTTTTCATGAATGCGTCATAAATGTGTGGAAGCATTTATTTTTTTTGTCAGCTGACCTGCAGTGTGCAGCCACATGTGGGGGAGTGGCAGTGATCAAATACCAGCCACAGAAACTTTGGTACATTCTCTGGCAACTCATTAAACCTTTTTTTTTTTTTTAGTTTCCTGTATTTGTTTACAATTATACTGAAAAACCTGAAATTGCTTCATGGTCACTAGACTATAGTACTCACAAATGAAAATAAATTTAGCTACTTAGTAAGCAAATGAGCTACATTAGACATAATTGAGCATAACTCAGACCATTAGATGGTGTCAGGGTGCTTCCAATAGGGTATCTGGTATGTCTTGAATATGCATCAACAGGCAGTAGCGGCATAAAAATGACACACTGGCTGTTGGGGTGGCATAAAGCAAATATGTGACAAAACAAACAACAACAACAACAACAAAAACCCCATAACTTTTAAAATGTTTAGATCTTGTTACCAACATGACTAGACTTATTATTCAGCTCTGCATATAAATGTAATTACTGGAAATAGTACAGACCAAGTATATACAAGGACATAAAAATATTTTACCCTCGGTTTTCCAAAAGTAGAATTACAGTTGATAATGTCTATTTTTGTTTTGCCTACTGAGACACAAACTGACTAAAATCCAAATGGACTTTTACACAGTTACAAAGAAATCAGTGGGCAGTAATGTGAATTTTGCACATAGTGGATCCCCACCTATTCACACACTGGTATTTTTCTGTGGAACATTACTCCAAATTATTCCTGGAAATGAGCTTCTTTTGTAACTTTTTTTTGTTAAATACTCTTAGAAGCTAATTTTAAAATGAGTAATTTCATACAAACCTGGATAAAAACTCTCAAATAAATAATTATCTTCTCTAGCAGAAGGAAACTGTTTAAATAGAGAAAATGTAAGAAATAAGTCACTGAAAACAAGCATTTTTTTCATTTATTTAAGGAAACTAAACAGTTTTTTGTTTTTTTTTTTTAGTTGAATTTTACTTGAACAGATGTCACTGCCCTTTCATCCATTACATTCCCAGATCACCTGGGGTGTTTTAGGGGTGAGAGACCGAACATGACTTTCTACTGCCTCCATCACTTCAGCTAACAGGAAGCCCTGGGGTGAGCTATTTAACCCAGGTGGGTCTCGGTGGAGAGGTTTCAAGGCCAGCGGTTCAGCTGAAATGTGCTGCGAAGCTGCTCCCCTACATGAGTGAGAACCAGGCCACTGAAGATGAAAATGTGTGATTTGTTCATGAAACCGAATGAGTGAAGAAGGACATAAAAAATACATCAGCAGGGGTTTATTCCCTGTGCGTTTGGTATTACGTTATTATTGAGGACAGACAAGTCATGAGCGATGGAACGTAGAAAGGAAGACATTTTGGCATGACGCAAAAGTTACATTTCAAAAGGGAAAAAAGTTGAATTTATCTTTATCTACATATTCATAAATGTACAGTGAGAGATCACACAGCTGGGAGGACGTACGCTCCACTCTGCAGTCATTAGCCATCCTTTCATGTTTTTTTTTTTTACGCATTCAGCAAAAGGACTTGTAAAAAAAAGATTTTTTTTTCTTAGAGTTTTGGCTCTTATAATATTCAGATTTACTATTGATTAAAAAAAGGTTCATAAAATGAAGTGCTTGATTAAAAACAACAGTTTCATTAGATTTATACACATTTAAAAATAAACATGTGTGAAATATCTAATTGCTATAATATGAGACAAACATTCATATTGATGCTAACATAATTTATTGATTAATTTAGCATTACTTCTTTAATGGTTGGATAGATAGTCCATAGTCAACAAAAACGTTCAGAATTATCACCAGTAGTCTTGTGCCTATTGGTGACTGTATACAGTAACAATAAGCTGTTAAAAAAATCATTGAATTTCTTTGAGTGTCTGTTTCCAGACTAATCCATTTTTGCTGTGAAAATGTAAAACAGTGGCGTCTTCCTTACTTTTTTCTTCATATGCCTAATTAATAAAAAAAGATGGACCACCTTGTTCAAATAACATCATAACAGCAGCAGCGCAATCAAATTTCTGCCTCATAAACTTCTTCATGGAGCCACAAACAGGATGATCTTGAGCAGAGCATCATAACATATTTTCATTATTCAGTGTAAGTAATATCCATTTAATGCAGTGACATTTATTATTATACTATTGTCAGAATTATGTAGTAAATGATCTATGCAGAATTTTTTTTTGTTTATCAGCAACACTGTTGTTTATCTAAAGGTTGATTATTTGCAGAAAAAAACTTTATGATTTAGTAAAGATATTAGTTTTCATTATTTTATTTTAAGGCATAATGTACGGAAGCGCATTGCTTTCACGCAGGAAAAAAAAATTTCGAGCGCTATCACGATATAACGTGATACATATCTTGT